TATTTCACATAATCTCTAAAGACCGGCATTACATTTTCCGATCTAAGCGTTCGTCTGTTCGTCCGTTCGTCCGTCCGTCCGTCCTGTATAAGGTCAAAGTTAAGGGTTAATGTCGTTTACCTCACAGTTGTGGCCAAATCAACTTGAAACTTAGTATACATGATCAGTATGATGTGATTTTTTTAAATGTCAAAGAAGCCGGGTTTTTACGCAGAACTGATCTGGTTCACGTTATGATACAGGTGGGTTAAAAGTTTTAGTTCAAGAAAATTTAAAGGTTTGATTTGAGGTAGGTTTTAATTTTGGCTTATGACAGGTTGAAGTTTTGGTTTAAGGTAGTTTGAAATGAAAGTAAATTACTTGTATGCTAAAAACTGTTATGAATTATGAAACAATGTTCATAGTTGACGTTACAATACACATATCGAGAGGTAATAACTACAATAAGATGTGCAATGTGAAGTTTAAAGGGCCTGATTAAATCTTTGGTCCAATATTAACCCTTCGTGAACCTGCTCTTTTGTAGTCGTTAAAAAAGACGTGACAGGAAAGAAATGAAACCATGGGGAAAACAGTAGGTAATATGTCTCGGAGCTAGGGTATCATCAGTATTCACCTGGCGACCAATTCGTCACAAATTAACTTTGTATCTAGGTTTTATCACACTTGCTGTCGTGTAATAAATTATTAGTAAACAAGCGTAGATAAATTCAAGGTAAGTGGTATGAAGTCCATATTTTAATATGATGTTTCAGCTGAGTTTCTGAATATTAATTATTTGATAAAAAAGAAATATCCATCTTATAGTGCTTAACATCGTGATAGATTTCCTTTATGAGTAGTCAGGCTAAGATGTGAGCAGTGAAGTTATGAGTTTACCTAAACTTTAAGTACGAGTACCAAATCATTAAACTATATATGGTGATTTTCTTATTATAAATCAGCTGTTTTGTTAGGGGTGTATACTGATAGGCATGTAAGTTCAATTATTCGTTCGTTGGTCTGCACTTAGTAACGAAAGTCAGTACACATTTGCGTATGAATTTGTAAGGTCACACCTATAATATTTTATGTGGGTTTAGATCTTCTTTCAATAAAAAAAGCCAACCGAATTCTTTAATCATTCAATGAATGAAGAGTTCATGCAAAGCACACATCTTATCAGATTATGTAATCGATATATATATATTCCATCCCCTTTATAAGTTCAAATTATCCGATGGTAGTCTATCGCTTCATACCAAAAATGCATTTCTAGGATAAATGTAGGTTAGTAGATCCCAGGTTAAGGCCTTCTCTTTATTACTACGTAGTAGCTTATACAGTTTCTTGGAAAAGTCTGTCTGCCAAAATCAATCTACAGACACTTTTGTTCTGAAAGGATCGTTGTCAGTAGTTGCCTTTAGTTAAAGTCGTTGTGTTTTGTTTGGTTATTTCTGGAAAATTATAGATTGGAAATCAAAAATAGTCTTTTTTCTGAATTTGTTTTCTGGTTTTTCTAGATGAGTGGTGATTTAGAGATTGACATATTGTACAGACATCATATGAGTATTGTAGCCATCAACTGTTTTTGTTTCTATCAATTGGTGCTGAAGAGAGAAAATTGACAAAAACGGGTTTAGGAATTTTTGTCAGCTGTTCGGACTCCTTGGTTTTTTTTCCTACGATACAGGGTAATTTTGCCCCATATCACCCACTTTTCTTTTCATAAAAGACCTCAAAAGCTCATAAAAGGTCATTTACAAAAATTTAAGTAGATTCTAGATTTATTTTCTTACGATTTGAGACCCTAATAATGGCAATACTAAATATAAAGTAAAAGTCCGAGTAAACCTTTTCCCGCCATTTTTTAAAAAAATCAAATATTTCAAAAAGGAGTTCCATAACCTATCAAAATTTTAGCTTATTTTGTTCCTTAACTAATGCTCTTCTGACTTATAGTATCAATTTTAAATTCTAGTTTTTTTAATTTCACTTAACTTCATCCTTAAATTTTCGGAAATAACTTTAGTCAAGATTGCGGTATTGGACTATAAACAACTGTCATACAAGTGGGAGGATTAACTGGTTATAAAATCAGGTTTAATCCATCATTTATCTTCGTAAAATGCCTGTAACAAGTCAAGAATATGGCAGTTGTTTTTCACTTGTGTGTTGGTTTTTTTAAAATTTATGGCGTTTGATTTTGTCAGTTTTGTGGACTTCCCTTTTTTAAATTTGCATCGGAGTTCAGTAATTTTGTTATACTTTTACTTTTAAACATTTACCACATTCATAATGCGTTTTTGAATTTCACATCATTAGAGGATGCAAACGATGCAGTCGTTGTTTAACGACAGTTAAAGTATATAAGTATAAAAAAAAATATAACTATAAACTTTTAAAACAACAATTTCGAATCATCTATATTATAAAGTCAACAAAATATTTACTTGATTTAAATATTCTTCATCTGGAAGAAATTGAATTACAAAAACAGTATTTTACGGACTTTGTCACTAGTATCTAGAGGTAACTTGTAAAATATAACAAATATATTTTACGTATTGTTTTTTCAGACGTACCCAGATCATTAATATGAACATTTTAGGAGGTATGTAATTATTTGTCAATTACTGCGTTTATGGTGACACATTTTTAGTTGATGTTTATAGTAATACTGATGATGATAAGGATAGTATAAACCGGAAGATTTGGACAAATGAGATCAGAAATAAATAAAATTCAGACAATATATTTGAAGTGCTATAGTGACAATTTGTTAATCCGTCTATCTAGCATTTACATTTCTGTGTGCTTAATTAATTCTATTGTTAAATGTATGTTTGTCATATTGGAAACCACCATTGCGATAACAAGTTAATCCGTTGGACACTAAGCCTTTTCTATAGATACTGTTTTTTATATATACTTTTGTATGATATTTTGAATCAGTTTTAGGTTTTAGGTCTGGTACTGTCCAGACCTTGCTAATAAAGTTTAAAGTATTTGTATTCCGTCTTACAGATATTATAGCCGGAAAAACTCCCAGATTAATATCGATTACATTCAGCTTAAGTGACAAATAGACCGCTTGATTTAGGTGCATTTAGGTTGGATTTGGCTATCATTGTTAGATCCCCTTTTTGTGCATATAGCTCTTCACCTGAGTCCTTGGCTTTAGAATATTCCTCTTTGAGCGTCCATGATGAAGATAAATCCAGAAAAGTGCTTCGTACGCAAAAAAAAATTTAAAGTTGTTTTTAGAAGAATATCATCTTATTCGTTTTCCTGATATTTATGTTAAATGTGCATAAAATGTATTTTATTTGTTGTTGGAAGTATTTTAATCATTTTTAAAATCATATCCATATCTTTGTTGAATATGAAAAGTGAAATTTCGGATAAACTACAATGAGAAAGCAATATAAAACAAATAAAATGTGGTATGATGGCCAATGAGACAACTGTTCACCAGAGTTAAAATGACGTCGATGTAAGCAATTATAGGTCACCGTACGACCTTCAACAAAGAGCAAAATTCATACCGTATACTGAGTAAGCTATCAACAGCTTCGACATGACAAAATGTAAAATAATTAATACGAAAAAACTATCAGCCTGATTTATGTACAAAATGTATGATAAATAGAACAGACAGTAACAAACGACAACCACTGAATGCATGTTCCTGACTTGTGATAGACATACAGAATGCGGCGATGTTAAAATGTTTGCAAGGACACCACCCTCTCCTAATCTTGGCAATTTGTAACAGCACAACATAATAGCAAAATGTAAAAATCATTTTAAAAAGGCTCAACTCATCAGATCGACAACTAATGAATAAATCATGTTTCCTAGACTAAAATAACAATCAGTGCACATTATAGCCTAAAACACAAGGTCATCAAATATAGACTAAACGTCATCAACGATTGCCAAATTCATAACTCCCATGGTAATTTATACATAGCTCTGATTATTATTTTTCTCTGCACTCCGAATGAAGGTTTAGAATATTTGTTATGAATGAGTCACATAAAACTTTATAATTTGAATGAACTTAGTATTTCGAATTTTATTTTAGTTGCTGGTCTGTTATAATTTGCTAACATTGTATCATGTTATCTTTATTTCAGACTATCAATTCGTAAATGACGTAAAAGTAACAAACGATATGATTGCGGACTTTCAGCAGCATGGATTTGTTATTATCAGGTATGTGGTTAACTAAACATACATTTGAAAAAGTAATTATTTGCAAAACAAACAAATTTGATAAAGAAAAATAAAGAAAAATAATTGCAAACAACCAATACAAAAAGATATTCTTTCGGGCTTATATTTTGCACGTTTTACTAGCAATCCGTCCAAAGTTTGGATCATTTTATAGTCTAGCGAAGAGCAAAAATGAAACTTATGTTTTTGCTACATGTTATCTTATAAAAAACCTGTATCATGAAGAACAGCAATAAAAACGCTGTTCCATTGCTTTTTGTTGAATTCCAAACGGTGACCTACAGTTGATCACATCCACGTCTTTTGGACTGATTGATAATTGTCTTACTTGCAATTACACCGCATCTCTTTTTGACAATCATACCGCATCTTATTTTCATATTACCCCAGAAAAGAAACACAGAGTTTTCAAAGTATGTAGATACAAAAGAAATGTAAAAGTCAACACACGTGATTGCTAAAAATATCGACAAACAATGAGAACAAGAAGTGATATAATAGATCTATTTTTAATTTTACACTTCATGTTTTTTTGGCGGATTGACTATTCATTTTCATCTGTTGCTACACATACTTATTTTCACTTTTGTACACAATTATTTTTTGTATTTTGTGTTATAGAATATTCATTTTTATCCTGTCTTTGGCAAATTTATTCATTTCCAGCTCTTACCGGGCCAGGATATTTTTTCAAAATCCTCCTGCCCCCCTTTCCCCCTCCCCAGTAAAATGGTCGTCCCTTTATCCTTTCATATTGCTATGTTTGTACAGATCGTTATTGGACCAAGAGGAAGTAAATATGATACTGAAGTGCATTACTGGAACTGACGGTTTTACCAAAGAACTGTTTACTGTACGTACTACATACATACTTAAATCCGGTGTCTTGAGTCTTTAATTCAGGGTTTAGATTAAAAAACTAAAGGCTCCGAAGAGCCGTTGTCGTTCACCTGCATCTTCAACAATGGCCACTTTTTAGTAAAAATCATCATTAAAGGTGAATTACTCTATTAAGAACTAACTGCCAATTTCTGTCCTGTTGACCTATTTGTAGAACTTATCCTGCTGATAATTTACCTTTTCAAAGTTTCTGTTTATCTATTATATTTTTCACGATAATAAGCAAAAAATGTAAAAAAATGTTAAAAAAATTATTTAAAGGACAATACCTCCAATAACGAGTTGACTAAAAATTTCGTCCATATTGGCTTATTTGCAGATCTTGTCTTGCTTCATTTTTGCTATTTAAAGTTTTTTTCTTACTATTATAGTTTTCAAGATAATATGCAAATATGCTTAAAAAATGTGAAAAATCTTCATTAAGGACACTAATTTCAATAAGTAGTCGTCTAATGATTTCGTTAATACCGACTTATTTGTAGATCTTGTCTTGCTGATTAAAGTTTCTATATATCTATTAAAGTTTCAAGATAACAGGCAAAAAAGGAGAAAAATCATCATTAAAGGGCAATCGTTTCAATATAAGGGTCAACTAACGATTTCAGTTATACTGGCTTATTTGTAAATCTTGTCTTGCTGATTCTCATTGCTATTTAAAGTTAATATCTATCTATTATAAATTTCAAGATAACAGGCACAAATCCAACCAACGATTTCAGTTATATTGACTTATTTGTAGATCTTGTCTAGCTGATCATTGTTTGCTATTTAAATTTTCTATCTATCTATTATAGTTATATATGCAAGCATGCAAAAAAAATGAGAAAATTCGTCCTTAAAGGGCAATAACTTCTATAAGTTATCGACTGACGATTTCGACCATTCAATTTATTTGAAGATCTTATTTTGTTGATCATTTTGCTATTTTAATTTCTGTATATCTATTATAATTTTCAAGATATTATGCAAAAATTCCCCCCAAAAAATGGTAAAGCTCGTCGTTTAAGGTTGCGCATCAGTAAATGTAGACAATGCTATTTATCATAGGAACTCCTTTTACGGCTAAAACTGTGCCACTTTCGGAGTTTTGTAGTTTCGTAAAAAAATATCCTAGAATGGAAAGTTCATATGCACTTCAATTTTTTTCAAAGGTCAAAACATAGGGCTGATCGGCATATTTTCAACATTTATATGCCTTGAACTTCTAAGAGTTTAAACTTATACTAAAATTCTGTACTATCCCTCCCTTCATTTTGGGTCTTCCTTAGAATTCAATTTGGCCCCTATCCATGTGCGTTTATACTGTTAAAAGTCCCAAGTTGTGGTTCTATGAGATGAAACATAGAGATCATATCTGGGAACTAGTAGGTAAACAAAACAAAATATCTATGAATATCATATATGTGACTAGCCACGATATTTCCAGGCTTATTGGGGTACCTTGTCTAAAATTGGCTTTTTGTATATTTATCTAGAACATACTCAAACAAAATACCCTGTCATGTTATTATGACCTCTTTGTTGTAATAACAATGAAACGAGTCTTTTTGGATATCGGCATAATATGAGACTATTCGATGACGACTTTTTATTATCGAAGGCACCAATTTATAAAATACAATACGCTAAGTAATCTCCAACAGCGTATTTGAATACAAAATTCAAATGAATTAAATTTACTTCAATGCAAACAGTTCTTAGCTCTCTTATATAAAATGTAATTTAAACATGTTGAAATGAAGTTACTATAAAATTTGTCAAAGATAAGCTTTTAGAAGTATTTTTTTTTAATTCGCCTTTTAACTTAGATTTATGATGGATGTCTCTACACCACATAAAGCATGCGAAGCTTAACAGTTTATAAAAGTTGTTCTCATATATGCATTTGATACGGTGCATTTATTATGGATATATTTTAGACTCCATTTATAAAAAGCTATAGAGCAGAGAATTTAGATTTTTTTTTATCAATTTTATATGTAGATTCCAATATTTTCACTTCAAACGATAACGTTAAACTTCTTCAGAACTTATATAGGATGTATAGTTCAGTGCCAGCAAGAAAAGAAGCCAAGTTAAAGTGTTCAAATCTCTTCTTCAAAAATACTTTAAGTTATTCAAATGAATCTCGAGGAAATCGAAGGAACCATCTGAAAAAAGTTATAAATTTGTAAATGATTCAGTTACTTGAAATTTATATTTTACCGGGCTTCAACTATATATGAACAGTCAGGGGCATTACTTAAACAAGCTATTTTTTTACTTACTTATGTAAGTAATTTTTGTTAAAAAAATATCAAATTACTCAATAGAGTTATTTTAAATTTCAATAGAAGCATGGACGAAATGTAGTTTTTATAAATTTTACATTATTTAATTACATAAAATTATAAATTTATAAAATTTGAGAGGAGTATAGAGATAAAAGGTTACTTTAAAAACAATGACAAAAATATCACTTGTATAAGTTATTTTATACATCTTTGTAAAAATTTGAAATTACAATTATTTAAAGAACATATGTAAAAGAGAGGCGAAAAATATCAGAGAGACATTAAAACTTATAAGTCGAAAATAAACTGACAACGCCATGACTAAAAAAAAAAAAACCAACAAGCAATAGTATACAAAACACAACATAGAAAACTAAAGACTGAGCGACACGAACCCTACCAAAAAACCCTGTCTCATGTGCTCCGGAAGGGTAAGCAGATCCTGCCCCACATGTGGCACCCGTCGTGTTGCCCATGTTAGTACACACCCGGTAATAAGTCTAATTCGGTTGGTCACTTTCGGGGAAAGGGGATGGGATTGTAGTTACGACATTAGGAACATATCCGCTATCATCTGTGAAACGGATATTCCATAACGGTCAATTTTTTTTGTTTACAAATTATAAATAACTTCAAGTTTAATTAAATCACAAGTTTCCAGCTATTTATATCTGTCTACCTTTAAGAACTTCAAGGAAAATGATATTTTGATAGTCCCAAGAGACCAAACTTTGACCCAGAAGCGTCGATATGAAATATAAGTGCGTCAGAAAGGCAATTAGTGTTTCAGGAGGATTAGTTTTTATATTTCATGGGAAAATTAACCATATGACTGTGAAAACTTGTTAGTAAAATTTGTATGAATGGACACCTATAAAAATGATATTTTACAAACGTTACTTATATAAGGAATTTTTAAAATAGTCTCGTTTTCAACATGTATACCTTGTATACATAGGTAATTTCAAAAGTTACATGTTTAAGTAATGCCCCTTACTGATGAAGTAAGAGGCTGAATTTTATATCTTTTTTTTGGACCTTTTTTTGGCTAAAAAACATAAAATAAGTGTAAAATGCATTTTAAAGTTAAAGTGTAGGGGTTGGACATTTTTGGTGCCGTATTCTCTCCATTAATTGTCTATTATAAAATGATTGGATGGATCCAAAGCTATGTACTAATTAATATATTTGATGTGGGATTTGTCAGTAAAAAAATGGACATGGAAAATTCTCGTTTGTTGTATGGTTAGTTAGCATAACCTCACAGATTTCTTGTTGTAAACAAGATATACGGCTATTCAATGAAATTTACAATACGACCGACACGAAGAAAGACAAACAAGCAATTTTTATCCAAATGTTTGGTTGAAATGTTTCAACCAACAAAGGAAGTGAGGGGTTCCAAATCAATCAAAGGCTACGAATGAGTCGGAAATGACAATGAAGTTGTGAATGACGGTCGACACATGGAGACATATAGGCCACACCCAGCAGGCAGGTTGCTGTCGGGCCTTGAAAAAAGTATTCAGTATATAAGTTCGGCGAAACAGACATTCCGGTCAGATATGGGATTCACATGCAACCCCCCAAAAAAAATTAAGCCCGTTTTTTATTCATCATGTTCATTTAATGCTAAATAATTTTGTTGAAAATACTTTTTTCTAATAGCAAAAAAGTGGACAAGATTATTGTTTTCAATCCAGATACGGCCAGAATTTTTGTTTAAGGCAAAAATCAGGGTCAGAATTTTTTCTCTAAAATATCTCAGACTGCCCCCTCAAATCAAATGATCCGTACCTTAGACTTTAAATCTATATCTAGAGCTTACTGACTGGGGATCACTATTCAGCAATGTTATTAATGGGCTGGGGCGTGCTCAATACTTTGTCGCTTTGAAGGCGTCATACTTGTCATCCTCAGCCTAAGCAATGTGTTACTGTAATTTGAATTTCAAAATGACTGAGTGACGTTTTTTTTCGACGTACTGGTCAACTCCACCGTAGCGAATCGCATGACTTTGACATAATCAATAATATATTACAGTAAATACGAGCGAAAAATATCTTTATAAGTAAAGAATTGTCGCATAAAAATTAAATACACGGGGAATGGCAAAGTTCGCGAAGTCTAGTCTGATTAATCATTTTACAAAAAAAAAAAAAAAAAAAAAGTGCAAGCAAAGGGGGGCGTACGCCCTCTACGCCCCCCTCTGGATCCGCCACTGGAAATGCCAAAAGCAGGTTACATGTAGAAAGTTTCTGTCACCGATTTCTAATTGAAACATTTATTCGCAGTAATGCTAATGTTATATCCTAACAACAAAACTAGAAATCAATATAGTACGTTATCAAAGGTTTTGATCATACAGGATTTTTAACCATATATTTGATCTTTTTACCGTTCCCAGTTCTTTATGTGTGTATTTCAGTCCTATAACCTGAATTACTGGCTTTGGATGGTCGAACATATTAACATGTTGCGGAGATTAACGTGGACTTTTTCCTTTTCCAATTTATCTGGTAAAATAAATAAAAATCCGATATCAGGCTTCTCCTTAGGAATTTGTATTTACAAATATGAACTAAAGGATATGCGTGATACAAGTTAATGGCACATCAACCCAACAACAACAAACATGAACACATATTGAGGTCAACATACGGTATTCATAGAGATATGTCAAGAAATCAGCCGATTAGGTATAACCTTTTTCTTATCGCTTAATCATTTACTCCGAATACAATCATTATATTTTATATTGAAGTTAGAGAAAGGTGAAAAGAAAACTTTCCGTACTGTATGGAACCAGCCAGGAACTGATGTTACTGGTATGGTGGCTAGGTCAGAAAAGGTTGTTAATACTTGTGAAGCGGTAAGTTGTACTGTAATAACAAACAAACAGAAAAAAAATTGGACTTAAATTGCAGCCTACCAGAAAAACTTCTTAGCAAGTCTGACTTAAGATCTTCCATTTACATGGAATCTATCATAAAACTACAAGAAAGTATTCAGTTGTTACAATGCATCCATAAACAACTTAATTATCCAAATTGATTTATGCAGCGAACTATATGAAATAAGAATTGGTATTACTGCCAATGAGACAACGTTCTATCAGAGACCAAAGACAAAGATGTAAACAATTGTGGGTCACCATACGGTCTTCAACAATGAGGAAAACCCATAAATTAAAGTAAGCTATAAAATGCCTGGCATGACGCAACGAAAGACAGTTAAAAACATAGTCAACTGAAAATACTTATCTTTAGTTAATGGAATACATGAAAACTCGGATCAAAGACAAGTAGGACCAAGACAATTCGGACCACTCTTGAAGACACAGCGGGCCACTTTTAAAGACAATTCGGACCAATTTAAAAGTCAATTCGGACCCCTTCTGAAGGCAACACACTAATGTTTGAAAGAGGGTCGTAATGGAGGTCCCTTCACGACGAATAACAATGTTACAAATCTTTCCACAGAATACCGTTAACGGTAAAAAAAATTCTGAGCGTGACGATAAAGAACAACTTTGAAATAATTTCAATGTAACCATTTAAAGAAAATACACTAAAAGATAGTACCAAGTCGCCCTTTAGGTCCTAATAGGCCCAAATAAGGTAACAGAGAACAATGTCACATCTTCTTCCACGAAAATAGAAACAGTAGCTAGAGAGGTGTGTTCATCAGCTGGGTCATCTCATTTAAACATACAAATATTAGACGATTAACCAACCTCTCTTTGATGAGATTTTCAACTTTTAAGGTCGCGCTTAATTCGTGTAACATTCTGGAATAATAACGCGATTTTATCACATGCAAGACTTTTAAGTACAGAATTTAACTTTACTGTAAATAATACAGTCGGCAAAGGAGGGCGGAAAAGATAAGAGCAATTAAAATAGTTGTCTCTGTCATTCCAAAATAGTTATATTTGATAATGTTTTATTCATTTCATTTGTCTTAATGACAAAGTTAAACGGAAAATATTAAGACAGTGTTTTCTTTTAATTTTCACATTATATTCTGATCAACACAGATTTTTGATATACATGTAGTTAATATCAGCCAATAATTTATTTCTAATAAAGTATAAAAAATACCTCGTTATAAATGATGTGTCATGTGTTTGATTAAGATTTGGATCAAATTGATTGAAGTCAAGAATGGTGTAATATAATTATTTGATAAACATAATTTACAACTACTTTATTAAGAAATATGAAACAATTTCATCGTTTAAAAAAATGATTTGACTTGCATTAAATCAAAATTGGGTTCCCACATCCGTGTACTTTAAAAGATAACCTAAGGGTTTTAAGAATATTTAAATGAAATTCTTGTGGTCTATACTTTAAAATGTCCAATTTAACATCATGTATATGTATAAAGCAACTCCAGTCAAATCTATATAAAAAAACAAACAAAAACATATTAAACGCAAAAGCCACGAAGAACCACTGGTCTGAACAGTATTTCAAGCTGGTCCGAGTTTGTCTTTAAATTGGTCCGAGATGTCTTTGTCCGATTTGTCTTTGGAACGAGTTATATCCTGATTCGATCTTAATGATATATAATCATGCCGTTCTATACTAACAAATAGATGGTTGTGTTGTAGAGACATAGAGCAACAACATTAATGAATAAAGTGGAATTTTAGTGCCTTCAATGATGGAACTGAATTTACATTAAAAAAATTATGCCTTACGATGTTTTTTTTTAAAGATATTTAAAAGATTTTCAAGATTGACAAAAGAACGATGATGTCTCCATTTTATATGAATGATACGTATACTGTGTTAACTTCTATTACGGTTTCTTTTTGGGACCATGTTCACTATATAAAATATCTGGATTTAAATATATTTGCCTGTTCCGTTATGTTATCATATAGCCAAAGGGGATAAATGACTTTTTCTTTTGATCTAATTGCTGATCGGTATTTTCATATGAAATATGTTCTCTCACTTAATAATTCAAAATTTGGTAACTATGTTGAACGCATCTATCCCATCGAACTTGAAATAAAAGATACAACAGATACAGTTAAGTCTGCCTCATATCTTGACTTACATCTAGAAATTGACAATGAGGGTCAATTGAAAACAAAACTTTATGACAAAAGAGATGATTTCAGCTTCCCATTTGTGAACTTTCCATTTTTATGTAGCAACATTCCAGCAGCGCCTGCATACGGAGTATATATCTCCCAGTTGGGCTTGTATTTCGTATCATGATTTCCTTGATAGAGGGTTGCTGCTCACAAGGAAGCTGTTAAACCAAGAGTTCCAAGTAATGAGGTTGATATCATTCCTTCGTAAATTTTACGGACGCCATCACGAGTTGGTTGACCGTAACGGAATATCCGTTTCACAGATGATAGCGGATATAACTACAATCCTGTCCCCTTTTCCCGAATGTGACATACCGAATTAGACTTATTACCGGGTTTGTACTAACATGAGCAACACGGCGGTTGCCACATATGGAGCAGGATCTGCTTACCCTTCCGAAGCATCTGAGATCACTCCCAGTTTTTGTTGGAGTTCGTGTTGCTTAGTCTTTAGTTTTCTATGTTGTGTTTTGTGTACTGTTGTTTGTCTGTTTGTCTTTTTCTTTTTTAGCCATGGCGTTGTCAGTTTATTTTCGACTTATGAGTTTGAATGTCCCTTGGTATCTTTCGCCTCTCTTTTAAAATATCTTAGAGTAGAGGCATTGAAGGAAATAAAATTGAGAATTCTAATATTTTGCTTTATCAGTATTATTACCAAATTTCTTGCCTAGGTCTCTTGAGCTAGACTTCAAACAGTAACTTATTATCAGACTATAAAGATAAAATTGCATTCTTAATGTCTTTTTTGAAGTTTTATGTTTGCGTCAATTTCTCAAAAATCTAAGGAAATACTTCAAAGATAATTTAGATATTTTAGATACTTCTTCAATTTGTCTGACAGAACACAGTGCTTAGGTCAAAGTGACTTACATGTTATGGTTGTATATTTTTGTTATTCAGTTGTGTGTCTATTTCAGTTTCGCAGAAACAAATGGAAATAAATCTAAGATTTCACCTGATCAATTCTATTAATTCGAACATTTGAGTCAATTTCAGTCTGAAATGAAATTTCTTATGTTTTGCATTTATTTCAATTTCTCAGATTTCAATGGTTTAAATGGAAAGAAGATATTCAGGAAGCATTTAATTCATAAGTAAAAAAAAAGACTGAAATAGTCATAGCCACAAAACACCACACTAGAAAATGAAGATTGAGCAACATACATCCCTCAAGCAGAAAACAAGTATCAAAACACAGACCAGCAGGGTATTTATACATCCACAAAACAAAAAAGACACTAAATACAGATCTGAGAATACTCGCAGTTAATGACAGCTAGTTCAAAGCCAATAGCAACTCATAAAAAAATCATGTATCTTAGACTAAGTCCTGATTTGAAACAGAGCTGACTATTACATATCAATGATATAGAACCTCTACAGTTCCTTTCATTAGATACATGTATAAGCTATTTATGAATGGTTTGGTTACTAAGACAATACATTTCAACAGTTCTATATCACTTATTAGATTCTGTTTTTGAGACAAGCTTTCGTGTTAATACTACTTTTACTAAACAGTTTGTTTTGTGGGAATGTGTGCAACATGTTTTTACTAACAGTAACAATACTTTCAATATTTGTCTTTCTTATTAAGCTTTTAGGTGGTGACGTATACCATTATCATTCTAAGTTTATGCTGAAAGATGCTAAAACTGCTGCCCCACACTATTGGCATCAAGACTATGGGTAAGTCTTTTGCCACGAGAAAAAAATAATCATATTTAAATTCATGACTTCGACTGTTGTTCGAGATTTCCCATGGAAAAACAATTAAACTTTCCTTCGTCCTCTTACACTTAATACACTATCACCTATTGAGTTTTTTTTATTCGAATTATTATTTTGGGTTCACAATGATAAAGTTACAAATATTTACGAATTCAGAAATTTGCTTGTAAGATCTCATTTTTTTACAAATGGATTTATGAGAACATTTTTAAACTACTATTCATACACTCATTTAACTTATAGATATTGGTATCATAACGGATGTCTTTATCCAGATATGATGACGGTGTTCGTTGCTTTGGACCCCTGTACCAAAGAAAATGGCTGTTTAGAGGTATATTTTGTCTTTAACTGCATTGTTTGCTGCGGGAAAAGGATATCATTACCTTGGTTTCATTTTCCAGAAAATTTGTACGCATATATCATTTTTTGTAATAATCCCTAATGCATGCATTAAGAGGGTTACATTGAGAGTACTGAAACAAATAGAACTTAAATTAAATTAAAAAAAAATCATTAGACATTCAGATACCGAGAAAACTAAATACGGAGTACATGAAACACGAAAGAGCAATATTTAAACAACATGGTCATCCGCTGATAACATAGCATGACCAATGGTAATATAATGAACGATTGTGTACTTATATTTAAAGGGGCATTATTTGTCAAATTCAAGTTTACCGATTTGACTCAAATTCTCATATTTGATTTATAACATACTTAAACGTAAATCCAAATTATGAAAAGTCTAAAATAAGAAATTAACAATGCATGGTCTCGATAATATGTATCAGCTTTCGTGTGTATTTTTGTCTAGACGTCATCTTATTAACCATCGAGATGAAACCGAAGACTGCCGACGGGCAAATAACCCGATATAAACATTAAAATAAATAGATAGTGACCACGTGCAATTAGATTTTTATAGGTCTGTTTGATTTCATGTTGTAGGTTAAAAAGTATGTTTATCATCGTTTTTACCTGTATAAGAATGATTTTTTGTGGATCGAATCAGTCAACTAAATGGTTTATCCTTGTTACACTTTCAATGTTGACATGCTTTTTCTTTAAATAGCTGAATATATGCGCAACCCATCTCAAGCTAAGGGGTTAAATTGAAAGTCACCTGAATACGGATTCAATGAGGTCGAATTATTCACTTGTAAGTGAATAATTCATCAGCGATGTTTCTTAGCTTATTTTCACCAAATTGAACCAAATTGGCTGTTAAAAGCGAATTATTATTTCATTCTTTCACTTTCATTACTGATTGAACCAAAAAAATCTTATTAGGTTTTAATCAAATTTATTCACCTGTCGTCTATGGTTTACCGTTGTCATTTGGTCGTCTGTTCAGACGCTTTACAATGATTGATTGATTGATTGTGTTTAACGCCACTCTCAGCACTATCGGCTATTTCGTGGCGGTTAAATGTTATTTGTGGCGGAAGCCGGTGTTTTCGGAGAGAACCACCGACCTCCGGCAGGAAAAGTGACAATTCTAGTCAATTAAGATTGAAGCCGATTGCACCTGCCACGTGCGGGGTTCGAACTCGCAACCTCAGTGTTAAAAGGCTAGTGATACAGTATTACTTAGGACCGCTAGACCACCGAGGTCCTTCTTTGTACAATGATTCAAATATACACTTAACTGATTTTGATGAAATTTGATGAGAATGGCAGTGGTGAAAAGCCTCACTTTCAATTTTAATGATTGCCTAAAGTCGTCTTTTGCAGTTGTTCAGTTATATAGAAAGACACGGTACCTTTTGTAATTTTAACTTGATTCAATAAGCATAAATTGCTTTTATTAATTTTTTATACGACGTTAATTATAAAAATTAGATACGTTATGTTATATACATTTATGGTTGTCAACGATATCTGAACAACTTATTTTCTTTTATTCATAATGAAAGAACCTTAGTGAGCGCGCTCACATACCCCACGTCCCCACATTGTCATTGGAGAAATAAAATAAGTGTAAGAAAAAAAAATTGTATCAGAAAAAAAATTTGAATCATAATTTCCTGTCAATATGCACATCTACATAGTATGTCCTTATTATCTACACAGTTTCATGAAATTCTGTTGTGTGGTTTGAGAGGAGTTGCGATGACAAAAGGTTGCAGTAGTATATTGGGCAAATAAGTTCAAAGGGGCGTAACTCCTGGAAAAAAAATTGAATCGTAATTTCCTGTCGATATGCATATCTACGTAGTATGTCCTTATTATCTGAAAAGGTTTCATGAAATTCTGTTGTGTGGTATGAGAGGAGTTGTGATGACAAAAGGTTGCAGTAGTATATTGGGCAAATAAGTTCAAAGGGGCGTAACTCCTGGAAAAAAAATTGAATCGTAATTTCCTGTCGATATGCACATCTGCGTAGTATGTCATTATTATCTGAAAAGGTTTCATGAAATTCTGTTGTGTGGTTTGAGAGGAGTTGCGATGACAAAAGGTTGCAGTAGTATATTGGGCAAATAAGTTCAAATGGGCGTTACTCCTTGAAAAAAAATTGAATAATAATTTCCTGTCGATATGCACATCTACGTAGTATGTCCTTATTATCTGAAAAGGTTTCATGAAATTCTGTTGTGTGGTTTGAGAGGAGTTGAGATGACAAAAGGTTGCAGTAGTATATTGGGCAAATAAGTTCAAAGGGGCGTAACTCCTGGAAAAAAATTGAATCGTAATTTCCTGTCGATATGCACATCTACGTAGTATGTCCTTGTTATCTGAAAAGGTTTCATGAAATTCTGTTGTGTGATTTGAGAGGAGTTGAGATGACAAAAGGTTGCAGTAGTATATTGGACATATAAGTTCAAAGGGGCGTAACTCCTGGAAAAAAAATTGAATCGTAATTTCCTGTCGATATGCACATCTACGTAGTATGTCCTTATTATCTGAAAAGGTTTCATGAAATTCTGTTGTGTGGTTTGAGAGGAGTTGCGATGACAAACTGTTGCAGTAGTACATTAAAGTAAATAAGTTCAAAGGGGTGTAACTCCTAGAAAAAGAATTGAATCGTAATTTCCTGTCGATATGCACAACAACATAGTATGTCCTTATTATCTAAAAAGGTTTCGTGAAATTCTGTTGTGTGGTTTGAGAGGAGTTGCGATGACAAGAAACAGGACTGACGAACTGACGGACTGACGGACGGACGGACAGACGGACGGACGGACGGACGGACGGACGGGTCAAAAACATTACTCGTTGCGTGGGGTATAAAAATTGCATCGATTAAGGCGCAGTTAATTTAGAAACATGTCATACAAAGCTTACCTTTAATATAAATATACAAGTTCTGCCTTGAATACATGATCACAATTTATAGTTTGAATACTAACATCAATAAAATTTGAACGTTTTTAAGATCCTTCCTGGTTCCCAAAAATGCGGAAGAATAGAGCATACGCCTATTGATGGTCAATTTGGTGCAGATAAAACACGTGTTGACGCCATTAAGGAAAAATGTCCTTTAATGTATGCTGAGCTCAAGTCAGGTAAGTAGTAATGTTTAACTGAGTTGACCCTTCCCCTTTAAATACATCAACACTGTCTAACACTCGCAATGTACAGTCATTCCGATAAGAATTTTAAAAAAGCAAATGTATTCCAACGATCGCACCAAGCGATTAAATTACCAAAAATTGAAATCATAGGCAAATAAGTCTTTAAAAAAGAACCAACAGAATTTTATATAAAGAAAGGAACTTACGAGAGTTCAGAATGTATATTGGAGTATCTGTCACATAGAAGTGAGACATTTCGTATTTGCTCGTGTAAATGACAACGTTACAGACTGAAGATTGTCAATCATGTTTAGTCCATCACTTATTTGGGACTTTCTGCAGTAGCTATGCAGCCTCGTCTTTCAAATATTCGGCTTTGAGCTTTCCTGATGAAGGTAAATTCAGAAAAGTGCTTCTGACGCATGAACTTATTCAACGTGTTGTTTTCATGTTTTTTCTTCGCAGTTTAGCCCAGTAGTCAGTACTTTAGTACTGGCTTGAAAATACAGGTATTGTTTGATCGAAATATGCTGTTATTAAATTTTGAAAATCACTATGAATTAAAGAATATATCTCCCTCATGCAAAGGTCTGATTCCTTGTCTGGATTTGACTATACATTATGACCTTTTTGGTTTGAACAGCTCTTTAACGTGTCAAATACGGTTTATTATCTATTTTTAACTATATTTTCTACTATTTAGATAAGATTCAAAGAAAATACTTTTATCTTATTGAAGTTATACATACGCTTTTTATGATATTATTGAGCAAGTAGTAGGCTGGTTTTGGTGGGTTTTTTTTTACAACGAATGAATCTTTTCATGACATTGATTGCTCCTTATCATTAAAGTATAAATATAATACATGTCATACACCTATACTACTAAAATAACGAGGTCCAATTTGTTAGCCTGCATGACGTAAAAACGACGAATCAAATAATTCAACTTTTATATATAACTAATATAGGACAATTGTGTTGTTTAAAAATTACACCATTACTGGCCCTTTCGTTTTCCACATAATCAATGTTACCAATAATTAGCAAGTTCCGGGTCGAATCCGATATGGATACCAATAGTATGTGTCACTTGTAATTTCCGGTTGTAGTTACCTGTTACCTTCTGTAAATCACTCCTCTATCAGGAGAACCTGGAATTCTTCCATTAGTTGTTTTATATCTATGTTACACTATAGTACACTATTTAACCAATCTGTTTCTTCCACCTCAAAACCAGTAATAATTTTGGTTAATTAGTTAAAAAAATAGGTTAAAAAAATAAATTTAGTTTATAGTAAGTTTATTGTGGTAAGAAAACCAGGACGGGTTCAAACAGAAAGATTTTGAAAGCAGAGAAATATGTGCACCTTACAATCAGCATGACTTTATCAGATGACAATACGAATACTAAAAATAAGGCATAGATACTTTAATTCATTCACGGTTCCGTGATGTCGCGGGTGTGATCTAGTTGTATTATAAATATCATTTAAATGTTTTGAACGTGACGCTTGATAGCCGTAGGAAAAATGAAATATTTTAGTTGCATCATCAAAGTGTTGCGAACAGAAGATACTTTTATTAGTTTTCGTTGATTTGCATCCACCACCGAGTTTGATTTTCTGCTCGTTAACACTTTGTACAAGACATTTATCTTCTCTAACAAATACCGGTCATTGTGTACAATCAATTACAATAAGTTTTTGTCTTACTGTTATATAATAGTTATTCAATATATTATGACAGTGAATTCCAGACATACCAATATTCGCCGTCCTGTAAATGAGCTGTGTTTTTCTCACAGGAGACGCCATATTTTTTCACTCAAATGTTCTTCACCACAGTAGTGCTAATCGGAGTAACAAGAGACGATGGGCATATTTGATGACGTATAACAAAATAAAGAATAACCCAGTCATTGCACATCATCATCCAAGATACACTCCTCTACAGAAGGTATGTAATTTTATTCGTAATTAAAGTATGATTCACAAAATAAATACTGTCCAAGACATACCAAGATGACGATATCGACAATGTCGACACAATATCGAATCGATATCGATGAACTTATACACTCATATCATAACCAGATGTAGGTTTTGATGACGACACCAATGACAAAACCTGATGTCAATATCGTCGATATGTAGCAGACAAACATTTTGAACATGTGTCGATATCGACTCGATGTCGTCGATATCGTCGATATCGACATCTTAAAACAGACGAAACAGGAGAAACTAAATTGTCTATATAGATAACTATAGGACATAAACATTTGTAACATAAATTTTCGATATCGGCACGATGTCGTCGAAATCGACATCTTAAATAGACGATCTGGGAGAAACTATAATTGTTTATATACATAACAGTAAAACAGATAGACATTTGAAACATAATGTGTCGATATCGACTCGATATCGTCGATATCGTCAATATCGACACTTAAAAACAGACGAACCAGGAGAAACTAATTATCTATATAGATTATCGTATTTGATAGTCATTTGAAACATAATGTGTCGATATCGATTTGACATCGTCGATATCGACATCTTTATTAGACGAACCTGGGGAAACTAAATTGTCTATATAGAAAATGTAGCAGATAAACATTTGGATCATTATTTGTCGATACTGACTCGATATCGTCGATGTCGTCGATATCGAGACTACATTGTGTCTTGGACATACCTCGTTCGTCTAATAAAGATGTCGATATCGACGATGTCAAGTCGATATCGACACATTATGTTTCAAATGACTATCAAATACGATAATCTATATAGACAATTAGTTTCTCCTAGTTCGTCTGTTTTAAGGTGTCGATATTGACGATATCGACGATATCGAGTCGATATCGACACAACTTGTTCCAAATGTCTCTCTGTTTTACTGTTATGTATATAAACAATTATAGTTTCTCCCATAAAACAAAGGGTGATACACAAAACCCATCACAAAAACGATAGGATAAAACAAAGGGTAATACACAAAACCTATCACAAAAACGATAGGATAAAACAAAGGGTAATACACAAAACCTATCACAAAAACTATAGGATAAAACAAAGGGTAATACACAAAACCTTACGCAAAACGATAAGATAAAACAGGGGGTAATACACAAAACCCATCACAAAACGATAGGATAAAACAAAAGGCAATACACAAAACCTATAACATAAACGATAAGATAAAACAAAGGGTAATACACAAAACCAATCACATAAACGATAGGATAAAACAAAGGGTAATACACAAAACCTATCACAAAAACTATAGGATAAAACAAAGGGTAATACATAAAACCCGTCACAAAAACGATAGGATAAAACAAAGGGTAATACACAAAACCCATCACAAAAACGATAGGATAAAACAAAGGGAATACACAAAACCCATCACATAAACGATAGGATAAAACAAACGGTAATACACAAAACCCATCACATAAACGATAGGATAAAACAAAGGGTAATACATAAAACCCATCACAAAAACGATAGGATAAAACAAAAGTTAATACACAAAACCTATCACAAAAACAATAGGATAAAACAAAGGGTAATACATAAAACCCGTCACAAAAACGATAGGATAAAACAAAGGGTAATACATAAAACCAATCACATAAATGATAGGATAAAACAAAGGGTAATACACAAAACCCATCACAAAAACGATAGGATAAAACAAAGGGAATACACAAAACCCATCACATAAACGATAGGATAAAACAAACGGTAATACACAAAACCCATCACATAAACGATAGGATAAAACAAAGGGTAATACATAAAACCCATCACAAAAACGATAGGATAAAACAAAGGTTAATACACAAAACCTATCACAAAAACAATAGGATAAAACAAAGGGTAATACATAAAACCCGTCACAAAAACGATAGGATAAAACAAAGGGTAATACACAAAACCTATCACAAAAACGATAGGATAAAACAAAGGGTAATACACAAAACCTATCACATAAATGATAGGATAAAACAAAGGGTAATACACAAAACCTATCACAAAAACGATAGGATAAAACAAAGGGAATACACAAAACCAATCACATAAATGATAGGATAAAACAAAGGGTAATACACAAAACCAATCACATAAATGATAGGATAAAACAAAGGGTAATACACAAAACCTATCACAAAAACGATAGGATAAAACAAAGGGTAATACACAAAACCCATCACAAAAACGATAGGATAAAACAAAGGGAATACACAAAACCAATCACATAAACGATAGGATAAAACAAAGGGTAATACACAAAACCCATCACAAAAAACGATAGGATAAAACAAAGGGTAATACACAAAACCCATCACAAAAACGATAGGATAAAACAAAGGGTAATACACAAAACCCATCACATAAATGATAGGATAAAACAAAGGGTAATACACAAAACCCATCACATAAACGATAGGATAAAACAAAGGTTAATACACAAAACCCATCACATAAACGATAGGATAAAACAAAGGTTAATACACAAAACCCATCACATAAACGATAGGATAAAACAAAGGGTAATACACAAAACCCGTCACAAAAACGATAGGATAAAACAAACGGTAATACACAAAACCCATCACATAAACGATAGGATAAAACAAAGGGTAATACATAAAACCCATCACAAAAACGATAGGATAAAACAAAGGGTAATACACAAAACCCGTCACAAAAACGATAGGATAAAACAAAGGTTAATACATAAAACCCATCACAAAAACGATAGGATAAAACAAAGGGTAATACACAAAACCCATCACAAAAACGATAGGATAAAACAAAGGATCATCTCAACGAGATTAATTTTCTCGCTTGAGCCGGTACGGCGAAAGTGAGAAAAGCAATCGAGTTGAGATGACCAATGATAATCTGTTTATCGCTATTTTACCTATGACGACGTTGTCAATTTCATTTTAATTTCATTAGCAACGCCACGTGCCCCCTTAGTTTCTAGCGATAATTTTTCTTATCATATACTTGTATAAAATATTACTTTAATTTTACAGTTCAATAACATTTGAAAATACTTAAAAGGCTATGAAAGGGTTATTATTTTTATTAACCAGATTCCTAAGAATTTCCTCGGCGGGCTGATAAACGAACCTTTATTGACTGCTTCCGGAATGTTATCACATGCCTTTCCGTTATTGTCCGTGTGGTTTATCACATGCAACTTCGTGCATTTCCGGAAATTTGTTTGTAAACATGGCAGACGTGACAATAAATTTTTCAAACTAAGAACATTATAATTGTTGTGATATGTCACATGATAAATGAAATGCTCGTTATATCAATAAAAACAATTAAAGTTAATAAATTTGTATTTGGTTGTCTGTAAATCATTATCTAGAAGTTCAAAAAAATTTTAATAGTTCTTGTCTGTATTTCTTCTGCTGAAGTATATGATAAAAAGATCATTACATGTCATTTTTCATATAAGACCCTTTATCGGCCCTCGTTCATGATATCATCCCTCGAGCCTCCGGCTCTTGGGCTGATATCATGACCTAGGGCCGATAAAGGGTCTGATATGAAAAATGCCATATAATAATCTATACATATCACTCGACTCCGCTGAGAAAAGAAATTATCAGTCAGCAAGATCAAAGGAAAATTTCGTAAAATAGCGATAATAGTAGTTATTGGCTTTGAACTAGTTTTAAGTAACTTCGAGTACTCTTATGTCGGTGGTTTGTGCCTTGTAACATTATTTTGAGTTGAGCCAATTGCAACTGATTTTTACAGTTTGTTCTTATGTTGTGCTGTTTCACCACTGTTCCTGGTTAGGGAAGAGTTAAGAGCTCATAAACATGTTTAACCCCCGTCACATTTTTTATGAGCCTGTCCCAAGTCAGGAGCCTGTAGTTCAGTGTTTGACGTTAGTTCATGTCTGTAATATTTTTTCTCCGTTACTTGTTTTTCTCCGTTAATTGTTTAGTAATGAATTAGGTCGTTAGTTTTCTCGTTTGAATTGTTTTTCATGTCTGGGCCCTTTATGGCAGACTATACGGTATGCGTTTTTCCCATTGTTGAAAACCTAACGGTTGCCTATAATTGCTTATATAATCTTCCTTTAAACTATGGTGGATAGTTGTCTCATTGACAGTCATACAACATCTCCTTATTTTTATAATAGTGTTGTTGTTTTCCTTATTAACTGCAGAAGAGGTTCATTTGTCATAAAAAGAGGCTTTAACTGCCAAATTCATCAACACTGAATTCACTCAACTCTCAAATCTCATATAACTTACTAAAACATTTGTCAGAATTACAAAATCCATAAGTACCAATAGACACTATAATTTATGAGATTGTTATAAAGTTTGTATTTATTTCAGGTGCCGAATTTAGCCATTAAAGAATGCACTAATTTTACAGATATGTCGGGGAAGGATTTTATCAACCCTCGTAAAAATGAGAGTCTCGTGGATGGATACAAGCAAAACGCAAAACCTGAAAAACAGTAACTACTACTATGAAATTATGACGTTCAATGATTCTTTTACGAAATATTTTACTTAACGGGTTTATCTGCTTAAATGTTGTACCTTATGTAGCAGCACTATTGTATTGTACTCTATGTTCCTAATCAGATATATCAGCTATTCCACGGATAAAATTTCAAATATTTAGATAAACTTTCTTTATACTACAGGAGGTGGAATGTAACTGTAAATACGAACAAAACAAGAATCGTTGTATTTCTAAATAGCTGGAAGCCCGTAATTCATCATTTTTATTTCGAAGGTCAAAATTTAGAAATCGTCAACTCATATATATATCTTGGTATGTTCTTACATTTCAATGGTAAATTTGTTCAAACTCAAAAAAGAATGGCACAACTAGGAGCTAGAACACTTTCATCTTTAATTAACTCATCGAAAAGAGTATTGATTGCACCAAACCAAAAGTGTTGATAGTAATATGGTTGGATCTGTTCTGAACTATGCGTCCGAGGTATGGGGATTTCATCGGGCCAAAGATGTAGAATCTATTGATAATCGTTTTTATCGCTATTTACTCAACTTGGGTAAACCTGTACCAATTTCATTTTATGTTGAGAACTCGGGCACCTCCCGATGTGTATTTTAAGAAAATATAGAATTGTTAAATATTAGTTGCATTTAGTTTATGATCAACCTAATATTGTTTACGATGTATACAAAATTTTATGCATTGATGCTTTTAATGTGAAAAAAATGGGAATCCAATGTACGAGACCTTTTGTTTAGTTTAGGTTTGATTTATATATGGATTAACCAATATAACATAAATGTTTCATTTGATTTTATTAAATCTCGTATCAACGATCAATATTATCAAAGCTGGTATGTTTTAAACTAGATCTCTGTATTACTGAAAAATTATTACACCAGGGGTTTCGATATCACAAACTTGTCAATACATTTACTAAATTTTATCATCGGTACAAGGACATCTTTCGTAAATATATATTAACGTGCAGACATCTTATACGTTCAGGTATTTCACATCCCATCTTTTATTGTAATATTTTATACAAAGCACACAAATGCCGTAATTCACCTCAAAAGCTAACCAAACCTTTAAACAGACTTATTCGGAATGGATATAGTTACGATACTGTTGTCAGGTCATAACTGCTAGTAGTCCTTTGTTAATTCATGTATATTATTGTCATTTTGCTTAGTTACCTATTCTAACATCGGACTAGGACTTCTTTTAAACTGAATTTTGCTGTGCGTATTGCTGTGTGTTTGTTTATTCCACATTGGCTTGAGGTATAGGGGGAGGGTTGAGATCTCACAAAACAAGTTTAACCTCGCCGCATTTTTGCGCCTGTCCCAAGTCAGGAACCTCTGGCCTTTGTTAGTCTTGTATGTTTTTTGATTTTTTTTTCATTTATATGTTTCGGAGTTTAGTGTGACGTCCATTTTCGCTAAACTAGTAAACATTATTGTTTAGGGGCCAGCTGAAGCCCGCCTCCGGGTGCGGGATTTTCTCGCTGTGTTGAAGACCCACCGGTGGCCTTGGGCTGTTTTCTGCTCTTTGGTCGGGTTTTTCTCTCTTTGGCGCATTCCCCTTTTCCATACTCAATTTTAGATTTTTGTAGGGAGAATTATTTGCAATATGATTTTAATACCAATAAACTTACCAAATTACGTAGTGGAAGTTTAAAATTAAATTTAGAAACAGGTCGTTATGACAATATTCCTAGAATAAATCGTATTTTTAGATTTTGTAAAATTAACAATATTGAGGTGAATACCATTTTGAGTTGATTTGTCCTGTATATAGAACGTTCCGATGTGACTTTTTGCAAAATTATTATTGTTCCTGGCCAAATACGTGTACGAAAGCTATTTTTTTTGTGACAAGCATGGTCAAAACGCTTAGTAAAGAAACTATGTAATTATTTAAAGGCGGCATGGAAATTAAGAACGCAATATATCAGTTAAGATGTTGTACAAATGTTATTATAAGATATCTCTGCATAAAATATTTGTTCTCTGTATTCTGTCGTATTTTTCATATATGTATATACCTTGTTATTTTGCTAAAGCAATGTTGTTGTTCATTCATTCATTCAATTCCACATTGTTTCGCAAATTATTAAAAACAGAGGCGATTATTCAAATTGTTGATACGATTTAATTCATTAAAAGTGATTATTTTAATCTAGTAATGCAAATAATTAGGTTTATTTTTTGCATTATAATATAACTAGCAAAATCTGGGACCAATTGATAATTCATTAGTCCCAGTCAAAAGTATACAATATACAATATTAACTGGACGATTTCCATTATTAACTTTAACGTGATTGGTATTTATAATACACTGTATTAGCAATAGATGAATAAGACCATGTATATAAATTACTGAGATATCGCATGTTTCTTTACTTTAGTTTTGTAGTTGTTTCCAACCGTCGATTATTGAGTGATAGGATTTATAGTCTGGACTCGATAATTTGTCTTTCAAATTAGAACCGGAAGTATAAAATGGCATAAATTCACTGTTATGCACAACGTTTATCTTAAGTAGCTTTGCAAGTATTCCTATGAAAGCATCTTCCATTTTGATTATTTTTGTAAATGGTATGGCATAAGCAAGATTTTTGACTACTTTCATATTCGTGAGTATTGTTCCTCCAATTATATATGGCGGCCAAAAATCGAAAGGATATTCTTCTAAGGTCGTAAACCATTTCGAAGATTTTGTTCGAAACGGTTGTCTAAATCTTAGTTTGTAGCCAATGATTTTACTTTCTGTAGTACCAAGACTATCAACAGCAAATTGATGTAAACGTCTGGTATTAACTAAACGATCATCATCTAGAAAGTGCACATATTTTGTATTTATATTACGTTTCACTAACCAATCGATTGGAATAATCGTTTTATATACTAGACTATCGTATGTGTCAGCGAAACCAAACTGGAGAATATCGCCATATTCTTCATTTTCAAAATCAACGAGCGGTTGTAACCTTTCTAGATATCCTAAAACGAACAGCGTTTTTATACGTAGATTTTTCTTTGCTCCCCAAGTGTTCCGAATGGCGATCCTCTGGTCAAAATTTCCCACAAATGACTTTACAATAAAAACCATACTAAAACTATCACATACTTCACTGCTACAAAACTTTATGGACGGATCTTTCTTAATGACATAATGTTTAGTAACATTGTTCAATGGCTTTTCTGCAGTCCAACCAGTTGTCTCGATTTCTTGAACAACATCTTTTAAGTTGTTTAATGGGAATGTAAACTGGATAAAGTAGAACTTTTCTCCGGTCCAACATCTTCTCAACATCAAAATTACAAGAAGTATGCAAAATATATGCAGCAAGTTTTTGAATCTGAAAAAAAAAAGAATTCTATGACATTATATGGCATTTCATGATAATTTTACTTTTTTCGTAATTTTTTGCTTTCATAAATCAATCAAATATTAATCAATCTACTAGTATCATTCAATATTATCTTAATTTTTTAGTTAGTGTGCCAAATTGTATATGAGTTTTTGCTCTCAGAAGGGGTTGTCCTTAATTTTTAGAAAAATCTCTTCAGGTTGACTAGAACCAAGCTGAAAACAATATTCCTTTTGGGAGTTGATATAATAATAAGATGTGGCACAATTGTCAATGAGACGATTCTTCACCAGACTAAATGAAATACGACCTTCAACAATGAGCAAATCCATACCACACAGCAAGCTATATTAAGTCAGGGATTTCGTTACCACAAATTACTTAAAACCTTTACTTAATTCTTCCATATATATATAAAGATTTTGTTTTGAAGTTTGGTTGTACCTGTAGAAAACTTATTTCAAACGGGATAGCACATCCACATTTTAACGGAGATGTTGTTTACCGAGCCAGGAATTTGGAAACAATCCGGGTAAACTTATCGATCCTTTAGATAAACTTATTCTAAAAGGTTACCAATTCAACACTGTAATTAGATCTTTTAATATTGTTTTTATTGGTATTTATAGTGATTTTGTTATCAAACTAAATATTATTTGTATATACATATGCATATTCATTGCTCTACAGTCTGTCGATACCTGTATCTTGGCATTGTACAAGGTCATGTTTTTCTCTGACTGTTTATGACGTCTTTACACTAAATCCATTGGAGGTTGGATGTGTACTGATTGCTCTTTTAGTCTTATATGCATGATATTTTTCATTAGTTGTTATTTGCTTTGAACTCTCTGTCAGTAACTGCCAGTACTCTCAAATCTGTACTTAGTGTTTTTCTGTTGTGTGCATGTATAAGTACCCGTCCACGTCCACTCTGTGTTTTTGTTAGATTTATTTCTATTTGTATCCATCTGAAGAGTTAAGCCTTTTCCAACTGATTTTTATAGTTTGTTCTTATGTTGTACTGTAACACCACTGTCCCAGGTTATGGGGAGGATTGGCGCCCTCAAACGAGTTTAACCCCGCCACATTCTGTATGTGCCTGTCCCAAGTCAGAAGCCTGTAATTCAGTGATTGTCGTTTGTTGCTGTGTAACATATTTGTTTTTTGTTCATTATTTTGTACATAAATTAGGCCGTAAGTTTTCTCGTTTGAATTCTTTTACATTTGTCAATTTTGGGCCTTTTATAGCTGACTATGCTGTATGGGCTTTGCTCATTGCTGAAGGCCGTACGGTGACCTATAGTGTTTATTTCTGTGTCATTTGGTCTCTTTGGAGAGTTGTTTCATTGTCAATCATATCCATCTTCGTGGTAAGCGGGCAGAAAGTCACAGAACAAAAAGTCACAGGACAGAAAGTCACAATATTGATAAGACAAAAAGGCACAAATAATTGTTTGAATATATAGGAGAAAGTTCTTGTAATAATTTCTTTTTATTACATATATTCATTAAACAGTTTAGGAAATTGTTCATAAGACTTGATAAAGGAAGATTTGTCAAATTTTAATCATTCAAAGGATATATTCCTTGTCACAATCAAGTCATTCAAGTACCATGCCACTTTGATCCATTATTCTCTTAACAATTTTGTTTATCATTGTTGATTTATTTAGAATAAATTTTGTTTACAAAGGTGCTTTGTATATAATAGTTCCAAGAAAAATACAAAAATGTTTTTCAAAATAAGTATTTTCTAATTTAAAGAAAACTAATCTCAAAACTGAATTGTTACTTTTGTGTCCTGTGACTTTTTGTCCGTGACTTTTTGTCTGTGACTTTTTGTCTTGTGACTTTCTGTCCTAAATTCAGTATCAAAAACCCCAAAATGACAAATGTAAACAATCAAACGAGAAAACTAACGGCCTGAAGTCGATAATGTTAACTCAGATGGTCATCTAACATTGTCAGTGTTTTGATAAAAAGATCATAATAGTGTAATAAATATTTTTTTTAAAATCGAAACAAAATCCATTTATATTAGATATACGCCGTTTTGGAGGACATGATATGGAATTTCCTTTCAAAACATCGTAACTAAAAATTAAGAAAATTAAACCACAATATATGAGATTTATGTTGACGTCTATTTCCTACCAAACAATGATACGTTTATGAAGGTCTTTAAACGTTGGTGAAAATGACAAGAATTTAAAAAACGAAAATTTATAACAGGAAAATCGAAAATTGTGTGCAAACTGTAAAAAATAATAGTACTAGGATTAAACAAATTGTTTTCTCTAGGTAATTGCTGTACAAACTGGATCTATGCACTCATAAACTGAATAAAACTTTGAACGATTTCATTCAGCTTGTGAGTGCATCGGCCCATGTTACACACCAATAACCTCCAAAAAATAATTTGTTTAATTCTTATATTATTAACGTGTAAATTACATACAGTTTGCAAGCTTTCTGCGATTTAAAGTAAGGCTGCTTTTGGACGATTCTTTTTGTAGTTTGTCTACATTTTAACACCAAACTAGTACATGCTAAATTCCCTTAGAAATACTCGACTGAACTGATTTTTACTCGACCAGTCTGAATTGGTCTGCATTTTACTTGATATTACTCGAATGAAGGACAGAAAGTCACAGGACAAAAAGTCAAAGACAAAAAGTCGAGGACAAAACGACACAGGACAAGAATTCACAATTCCGTTCGAGATTATTTTTCTTTAAATAAGAAAACGCTTATTTCTAAAAACATTTTTGTATTTTTCTTGAACTAAAATATATAAAGCAATTTTGTAAACAAAAATGTATTCTACAAAAATCAATAATGATCAAATAATTGTTAGGAAAACAATTTGTCAAACGGTTGCTTGGAACTTAAAAGGCTTCATGGTGCCATGAAATATATCCTTAGCATAATTTAAATTTGAGAAATCTTCATTTATCAACGCTTATGAACAATTTCCGCAACTGTAACATGCATAAATGTAATAAAAAGTAATTATTTCAAGATCTTTTCAATATATATTCAAACAATTATAAACAAATTATTTGGGACTTGTTGTCCTTTCAAATTTGTGACCTTCTGTCATGTGACTTTCTGTCCGTTTACCTAAATTTTGCCAGGCTTAAGTTAGTGTTGAAAATTTTTCAGTAACCATATAATATATCTGAAACATTCAAAAAATTTTGAATAACATTTAAGATATTTGAATAATGGTAGAGAGTTCTAGTATTTTTGATGCTATATTAAGTACATTCAAATTGTTGTCCAAATTTCTATCCGAGGAAACTAACTAAAAATAGCTCCTAAATTGATGAAATACAATAGATAGATACAGAAATAGGTCTAGGTTGGTTAAGACTTGGTCAAGTATGGTTCAGACTAGGTCGTGTATGGTTCCGACTAGGTCGAAAACGGTTCAGACTAGGTCGAGCATGGTTCAGACTTGGTCGTGAATGGTTCAGACACTTATCAAATGGTTAAGTACTGGTCGAGTAAAGGTCGAGAACAAGTTCAGACTGTTAAGTATGGTTCAGACTACACTCGAGTAATATCGAGAAAATTTCAGACCAATTCAGACTGGTTTAATAAAAATCAGTACAGTTGAGTACAGATATAGGCCATATCAGACTTTTACTGGTTTGTAGTGATATTTACTCTGTTCATAGGCCACTTACATGTAAGATAATGTTCTTTTTCTGGTTTGTAGTGATATTTACTTTGTTGATAGGCCACTTACATGTAAGGTAATGTTTTGTCAGGTTTGTAGTGATATTAATACTGTTAATTGGCCACTTACATGTAAGATAATGTCTTTTTCTGGTTTGTAGTGATATTTACTTTGTTGATAGGCCATATACATGTAAGGTAATGGTTTTCTGGTTTGTAGTGATATTTACTTTGTTGATAGGCCACTTACATATAAGGTAATGTTTTTCTGCTACAAAGCCACATTATCTAAGCATAGAACTCGTACAATTTCTCATCGATCTGAAAAAACAAAAATAATAATTGATAAACATACAAATCAAATAAAAAAAATGGGAAACATAATTTTTAAGATTAGGATACGTTTTATTTGGGAAAAACACACAAATTACGAATATACACTATACACTAAAATATACCACCCTATAATACACTGTGCATAAGAATGACAGACGGATTTAATCAATACGTACAGCAAATCGAGTTGTATTTTTACCACCGGTAATTGGGTACTAACGAAGCGAAGAGAAAGGGAGAAAAATATAAACAAGGTAAGAATTCCTTTAATCTAAACCATTTCTATCGATTTGACGAGGTTACCACTTATAATATGATTTTCTGATGTATAATTTCGAGGTCGATCGTCCTCTGTTGGCCAGATATTCGAATGTTTTTCATTCTTTTTCCAGACAAATTTTTAGATTATGATAGTGTGACTTCATATTTACTGCAATTTGCAATCAAAAAGTTGTTTTCTAAAGAATATGGACCAAAACGATTAAAGCCTACAGTACGGCAACTTGCTCGTGTTGATATATTTACAGTGCGGCAACATTTTTTTTTCACTGCGTGTCAACTTGTTACTTTTATAATATGTATATGCCATTCTTTTAAAGAAAATATTGCTATAAATTCAAATACCTAATTATACATTTGATAAAAGTACAATTCGCTTGACAGCATTGAAGATGTATACACAATGTTAGGCCACACAGTCCTATTAAATCATTAGCAGAGCAGCAAACAAAGAAATAGTACATGTTTTCCAGTTGTATACATTTTATGTCAATATTTTACCCGTACTAAACATAAAAACGTTCTTAAATAATTATCTTTTGAATTTTCACTATCTTTTGGTATCTCTTTTTTTAAAGATTGCATTGCATCTCTTATTTTGATCACGTCAGATATTAGATGCAATGTAATGTAGTCAGTTAACATTGAACAATTGAATAAGCAGTTTACTTTTCTCCCTGTCATAAAATATTGGTAATAAAAAAAAATATAAATTAAGCGTTTACAATTTGAATACGGCACATACAAAAGCTGGCAATGTTGTAATTTCGGAAAGGCATGTCACTATTTCGCAGACCTCTTTTTCCTATCTCGCCTCGACAAAGTGGCGGAGGCGAGACTTAGACTTGCTGTTTCCGGCATTGCCGGCGGCGATAGCGTAAACAATTCATTAAAGTTTGTGATTAAGGCAGTTTAAAAGGAACAACGTATGGTTAGTCAATGGTATTAGGTATGCAGTTGTATTAACATTGGTTCATCTAAATCCAATGGATATTATATGATCCTGTCCTCAGTCATGGTTCATTGACTATGGAACTTTGGCATAGTTTGCATGTCAAGTTAAAGTTTATGACAATCTATTGATTGATTGGTAATTAACGCCACTTTAAGCACTATTGTGCTTTTTCGTGGTGGTCAGTTTTTATTGGTGGAGGATCCGGAGTGCCCGGAGAGAACCATCGACCTTCGGTCGGAAAAATATTAAGATTGCAGTCGAACGCATTGTCACGTGCTGGATTCCAATTCACGACCAACCTCAGTGTTGACAGGCAACTGGTACTGTAGTTCGATTACTTAGACCACTCGGCCACCGAGCCCCCCAGGACAATTTGAAAACCACATATAAGTTAAGGAAATTTGGTTTGAAGTTGAATTAACATTCAAACTTCTCATTCACACGTAGCCTTATTTGACCCTGCATCTTCAGTCATGGTTCATTTACCTTGAACGTTTTGTAATATAAAAGTGATACAAACAGCGGAATTTTTACACAATATTGAATGCAGCACATCATTTTCATAAGCTGCATTGTGCTATATTTATCGAACAATACCAATGAAAACTTTACAGTCATGACTCAAAGAACCATTAAATGCATGGTTTTTCTTTCAACTTTCAGAGAAATGAAATATGAATGTGGCTACTGCTTCGTAAAACTTACGTTCACCCTTGTTGTTCAACACATGACAGAGCAGCACTATGATAAGGAAATCAAAATCCAACATATATTTTTAGATTATTTTTATGTTGTATACTTATAAATACACAAGAGCTAGCATCTTGTAAGGTAAAGAAATATAGTTAAATACCCTCTAATAATGACAGGTGAATATCGTTTTGAATCCTGATGGTGTATTCTCATAAATTCTTGGAGAAAATCAACGAGAGATTAAAGATAGATTTGACAAAAAGCGTCAATTTAGTTATCTGCCCTCGGAAACAGTTTTGTTAAAATAATGAAATCGGTAAATTCTTATCGTGAAAGAGTAAGTTGGGTACACCTTTCACATTCAGGAGTGCTTTAGTTGCACTTTTTTCTACCTAAATAATTGATTTCGCCTCTCGCTAAAGATTCAACTAATTCTATAAATTTCAAGGCTAACTGTTGATTTTTAAACATTATGAATTCACATTTCTATTTTAAACTAAAGATGTAGGTCGAGTTCCATACCTTAATAAGTTTCAAAACAGAGAAGATGTGTTTGAAAATAAATAACCACGTGCTGCTATAACTTTTGAAGCAGTTACAAGTCTTACTTGTTTTGAATTAAATCATTTTATTTGACACAATATCAGATTAGAATTTAGAAATATTATACATCGTACTCATGAAAATGTACCACAAAAGGAGAAGTCGAATATACCACATTCTCACTACCCATCCACCCACTCAATTAAGTTTAGGCCAAACAGCATTAACAGCAGTCTTTTATTATTTTTTACCCTGTAAATAATAATATGGATTGGATTGGGGTTCTGTGACTTAATATTTTTCATGATAGTTCAGTGGTTGTTATTGGTTTATGGCTATAATTTTTATATTTGTTTTTCGTAGATTGTGTTTGTTATAGATTAGGCCGTTATTTTTCTCGTTTGAATTGTTTAACATTATTCATGTAGAGACCTTTTATAGCCGACTATACGGTATGGATTTTCTCATTGTTGAAGGTCGTATGGTTGTTTATAATTGCTTACATCCACTTTATTTGAACTCTGGTGGATATTTGTCTCTTTGACAATCATACCACATCTCCTATGTTTATATCAAAAACAATAACCAGCCACCAACAAAAGATGAATGGTCGGTTTTTTTATTATTCTTTCAAAATTTCGCCATTACAACAAATAAGATAACAGTTGTTAGTAGCATAAAGACATATGAATAAGACATATGAATAAATTTAGGATAATTAGGTTGAAGAAACCTTTTTGTCTTTAAAAACACAAGGTACAATAAGAGTACGCAATGATACCATCTGAATGAAATTAACGGCATATATTTTATGATATTTGCTATGTAGTTCACAGTGGCGTGGCACCAGTGTAGCAATGTAAGCATGTGTTAATAAATAATTTTTATTAAACTTTTTTTTAAATAAGAATTTTACAATAATTGATCAGCTTAAGGGTAAATATGAAGTCACACTCTCATTACTATGGCATGGTATTGGTTGCAAAAATTTGAAATTTTTCATTTAAATGCAATATTTCTTATTTAATTGGTATATTTCTTCATTTAAAAACAATATTTTTTTATTTGAATGGTATATTTTTTCATTTAAATGCAATATTTTTTTATTCAGATGGTATAATTTTTCTTTCAAATGGTATAATTTTTCATTCAAATGGTATAATTTTCGTTCAAATGCAATATTTTTTATTCAATTGGTATAAAATGTCATTTGAATGCAATATTTTTTATTCAATGGGTATAGTAGTTTTTTTATTTATATGCAATAATTGCATTATGGGAAATTCTTTGACGTCATGAGGTCAAATTTGCAACAACGTTTGTGATTGGTCGGTAATTGTTTGGATTTCTCCTCTTTCTTTCTAAACTTGAGTGACCAAGAATTAAAAAACGCGTCAGAATATCGCCCCTCTAACTAAATTTGGCGTTCGTGGGAGTTCGTGCACTGGCTGTTAATGCCAATAATGGCCAGGACGAGCAAAAAATGCGAGTGACAAGTAATAATAATTGATTTGACACACAACTTGTTCATGGATAGAAACAGATGCCTGCGTGCATGGCAAAAACACCTCCCATGAAAACCTTTTCTGAAGAAACTCTCCTACAGTCTACACATTGAAATAAAAAAAAAATACATAGCTAGCCCCCCTCCCCCTTCTAAGTCTAGATACATGTAATCATGACGTTCTTCAGTGCTATATTATTTTTTACTTTTCTTGATCCTCAGAGACGTTGCAGGAAGGCACACATGAAATAAGAATAAAAAGCATCCAGGACGTTACATTTATTTGGACTAAGCCCCCTCTTTTTTACTACATGTAGAAAAAAAATCACCTAATTCCGACAGCAGAACCAGAAACCCACAAGTAGAGACATAAGCTGTTATACTCCGGAACTAATTCTTTAATAAAGACAATTCAGGATAAATTGGAACCAGTTACTAACCCATGTTACAACAATAGTCCTATGACATAGGACTTCACTATATGAGGCGCGAACTTCATATTAAATACTATCTATAATATGTGCTCTCATGTCTTATGCTGCAAATCGTTTTACATTTTGGATTCGTTGCTGAGCTTTTTTTTAACTGTTCTCGTCTCCGAATCCCTTAAATAGATTTTTTTTCAAGCCCCACAGTAGTTCAATAATTACTATATGTCTTTGCATAAATAAGTATGCAGGGCATATTTCAAAGCATATTTTATCTTCAGGACTTTTAAATGATTTACCTTTCAATACTGCATTGAGAAGGGGTATACAAGTTTATTTTGTGACACATTATATAATATAATTAGGTATCCAACAAATTATATGATTGTACGTTTAGCTATTATCTAGACCCGTACAAAATGTATATAATTAGACACATTTAACAGGGGTGGATTCAAAACCTCGGTGTCTAGACAGGGGGGGGGGGGGGGGGGGGGGGGGGGGGAGTAGGTTCAAATTTAGATATTTGTATAGAGATGTATATATGCGAGTATTGGCAGTAATGGTTATGGTGTGCGTGTGAGGGTAGGGGTTTCAGATCAAAGATCGTTTCTATAATTCCATATCTTTTAGTTTTTACCATTTCACTCTATTCTTTATCCTTTGATCTCTAATATATTTGTCCTAAACATGCGTGACATATTTGCCACTGGACATAAGGCAACAAAAAGTCAATCAACGTATTCTGTATGTTTCATCATTTCTTTATTATGTTATCTATAGGTTTGGTCCCGCCCCTTATCTATTTTTTTGCACATTTGGGACGACATCAAAAGTTCAATGTAGGATAAAAAAAACTTAATTCATATAGTTTTTTTCACTGACCCCATACCCCCCCCCCCCCCCCTCTTAACTTAATTTGGGAAAAAAATGATTGACCAATAAGGATATATATAAAATCGATGTTAATTAAACAAAACTTGCAGCAATTTTGACCCCCCCCCCCCCCCCCCCCCAAAAAAAAAAAAAAACTATTTGAATTAAGTTTTTTATCCTTCATTGATTTTCTGATGTCGTCCCTTATCCTCTCTTTGTAAACCCAATTCATGTCCTGATAAATGGTGACTCATGCATAGCATCATATGTGGTTATTAAAACAAGAAACATATTCATATTATAATAATTAATGTATGCTAGGACTTATAGATAGATGTCATTAATCCCAGGTCATGTAATAAAGTAGGTCTTATAAAAATACAATAGCATTTTAATTTTGATGATTATATATATGTTTATATATTTAAAAATGCCATTTTTTTGGAAAAAAGGGTAGGGCAAGGCGTTTCTAAAACATAACAATGGGGCGCATTTTTTTTTTGTTCTTCGGAAGTGAGCCAGAAGAAGTCCATTTCTGTTTTTTTTTTGCATTGGGAAGATCTTCTGGCTCTCTTCCACCTCTTCTTTTTTGATAGGTTGACGGCAGAGGCACATAACAAACATGGCGTCGTTTAATCTAAATGAAATTAATAAATTTATGAATGCAGATATATTAGAATGTGAGCTGTTTTATAAACGTTTTTATGGTATGACAGCCTTAGTAGGACATCCCTGTAGGACGATAAGCTGGATAAATATAAGAACTACACGGACAATAACAGTTAAGGGACGATTATTTGATATTCTAGGGAAGGGATTTTGATTGATTGGTGTTTAACGCTACTTTCAACACTATTAGGCTATTCCGTGGTGGTCAGTTTAAATCTATAGATGAAGGATGGGGAAGGGAAGAGAGGGCATTATTATTCATTTCAATCTGTCGCTAATCATGCCTATTGTTCAGCTCTTACCAGGCAACCATATTCATATATGAAATCCTTCTGTCCCCCACCCCAACAAATAAATAAATATCAAATGGTTTTCCTCTTATTTAACACAAGTTTAAATTGATTGATTGTTTGTTGCTAATTTTAACGCCCAGTGAAAATTATTTCATGCTTGTTCAGGAAAACACGAGTTTAGAAGTCACGTATATAATATAAAAATGAAGAGATGGAATATGATTGCTAATAAGGCAACTATCCACCGGAGTTCAAATATGAAGTGGATGTAAGCAATTATAGATGAGATAAAATAAGATAAGAAAAATTTATTTTAAGTCGGGTTACATGAAACACTACAAACATAAGCTCTGTAGAGCTTTTTGCCGTCATGTAAACAAATGCTTTTTGTAGACAATACGGTAAGGCCTTCAACAATGACAAAAACCTGATACTGTAAAACGTCTATAAAAGGCCCGACATGAAAAGTGTGAACAATTCAAACGAAAAAACTAACAGCCTAATTATACATAACAAAACAATTTACAAAATATCAAATATGAGTCGAGACAGGAACCAACGACAACCACTAAACTACAGGCTCCATCCCTGGTACAGGCAAATAAAGAATATGGCAGGGTGGATATAAAAACGAAGATGTGGTATGATTGCAAATGAGACAACTCTCCACAAGAGATCAAATGACACAGAAATCAACAGCTATAAGTCACCGTACGGCCATCGACAATAAGCAAAGCCTACACCGCATAGTCAGCTATAAAAGGACCCGAAATCAAAAATGTAAAACAATTCAATCGAGAAAACTAACGGCCGAATTAATGTACAAAAAAATGAACGAAACACAAATATGTATAACAAAGCAACAAACGGCAACCACTGAATCACAGGCTCCTGACTTGGGACAAGCACATACATGCAGAATGTGGCGGGGTTAGACATGTTAGCGGGATCCCAATCCTCCCCCTAATCTGGGACAGCGGTGTAACAATACAACAACATGTTTGTGAGCAACCCATCCCGAAGCTGGGACAGTGGTGTAACAGTACAATAAAATAACAACCTGCACAAATCAGCAAATTAACTCAAAAGATCGGTACGAGACACACAAAAAAACTAACATTAAGACAATAGATACAAAGCACCGACATAAGAGTATTGCAATTACTGGAAGTTTACTCAAACCTAATTACAACTGGTACTGAAATAAATCTTGTTCTCCCAGACTGAGTTATCAATCAGTATACAACGCGCGGCAAAGGATCTATTAAAAAAAGAAAACAGTCTGAGAAACGTCTGGTTTACGTTGTATATAGATATAAGAAGATGTGGTATAAGTGCCGATGAGACAACTCTCCATCCAAGTCATAATTTGTAAATGTAAACCATTAAAGGTCAACGTACGGTCTTCAACACGGAGCCTTGGCTCAAACCGAACAGCAAGCTATAAAGGGCCCCCAAAAAATTAGTAGTGTAAAACCATTCAAACGGGAAAACCAACGGTGTCTAATCTATTTAAAAAAACCGATATACTTGCATAAATCCATATACAATGAAACGGTTTTTGAAAAGTGGACCGAACGTTTTGACCATCGAAATTTTGCAATAGAAATACTAGTTATGACCACAAGATTTTAACAGCCAGTGCAGGACTCGCACGGACGTAAGATTTAGTTAGAGGGGCGATATTCTGACGCGTTTTTTAATTCTTGGTCACCGGCATGTTTAGAAAGAAAGGGGAGAAATCCAAACAATTTCCGACCAATCACAAACGTTGTTGCAAATTTGACCTTATGACGTCAAAGAATTTCCCATAATGCAATTATTGCATATAAATAAAAAACTACTATACCAATTGAATAAAAAATATTGCATTCAAATGACATTTTATACCAATTGAATAAAAAATATTGCATTTGAATGAAGATTATACCATTTGAATGAAAATTATACCATTAGAATGAAAAATTATACCATTTGAATAAAAAATATTGCATTTAAATGAAAAAATATACCATTCAAATAAAAAAAATATTGCATTTAAATGAAGAAATATACCAATTAAATAAGAAATATTGCATTTAAATGAAAAATATCAAATTTTTGCAACCAATACCATGCCATACAATATCTAAAAATTTGTCTGGAAAAAAAAAATGAAAAACAGTTGAATATCTGGCCAACGGGGCAACAGAGGACGATCGACCTCGAAATTTTCTGGTTTTAGAGTATAACACTAAATCCTGTCTTTATTAGGTACTTATTGGCATAAAAAAATGAAGCATTATATATCAGAAAATCATATCGTAACCTCGTCAAATCGGTAGAAATGGTTTAAATTAAAAGAATTCTTACCTTGTTTATTTCTTTCTCCCTTTCTCTCCGCTTCGTTGATACCCACAATTTCCGGTGGCGATGATACACAGTGTTTATGGACAGATAATTGTGTCAAATGGAAAACGTATGTACTTTAAAAACGTGAAATATCAAAAATTCTCCATTTAGAATTGTAAAAACGTATTTGTATGTTAGATTTTGTATAAAAACGACAAAGTTAATAGTTTACATCTATAACTTATAAAATAATAAACCAACAGCTGAAATATAGTTGCCTTTCGCTGAATACTTCTAATTTGTTTGATTATATTTGGTCTCATCTATCCCATTGTTCAAATTGAAATACTATATATTAACGATGTTAACAAATACTGTTTTTTAGTGCATGACTCTCTTTATATAGGAAAAAGTATCATGTAACGTTTTCTTTTCTACAAAAGTATATCACATGATACCCTATGAGGAAGTGGGTACTTGGTACGTAAAAATACTACATGGTCATTTCCTGGTGATTCTCGATTTTCAACTATTAGATTAGTTTTAAACGATTTCTCATCAATAAAATAATTAAACACCAACAGTATGTGATAACATTATATATCGATTAGCTTCTAAACTTTTACGAATTATCTGCATCTCATTAATAGAATTAAAATGTATGTTCAAATTTTCAAATTAAATATGTAAGTATTGATATTTTCTGGATTTTATAGTACCAGACGTTCTTGCTGATCCCTTAAATTAAACTTGCTATTAATGGAATGACCCGGAATATTTTATCTGTTGTGTTAGAAATGGTTTTCCATGTATTATTGTATTGTATTCATTTATTCACAATAAAGCGAACACATTACTTGTATATATCCACAAAAAAGTTCCATTTGAAATAATAATGTTGTTACGGTCAAAACTACTGTGCCTATAGATAGTTTCGTCGATACATATGTATTATGACAATAATTTTCTAACGTCATCTCGTTTTTTTATTTTAATTTGCTGTTTTCAAGCTTTTAAAAAATCACAATTTTCCCACGAAATCCCTCTTTAATCAATCGATGATTTCTAACATCATTTGACAGCCCCTATATGGAGACTTAGTCGATTTTATACAAAATTAAAAAAATAACAACTTACACTTTAAAAAGTTTGGTGAGTACGAGGCGCTATTCTGGATTTAAATTACCAGGTACTCTTAATTTCAAGATCCAATGATCTCATTAAGAACGCTCATACAGAAAGCTTTTAAAGCCAAAAGGAACCTAAAAAGAATAGCCATAACTACTTCAAAATAACAAAATTATTTTTCAGTTGATCAAATACCCTTATTTTATGCAAGGAAGCGTTTTAAGTTTTTAGCAAAAACTTTAAAAAAAAAATGACTCTTTGGAAACCAAATCTGTGTTGACTGAGCACATGTTTGTTCAAGGTCAAAATTGGAAATTCCGAAATCTGTATTTTGCAAGAAAGGGATACCAATTTGAAAATCGACTTGATAAACATTCAGATCAGTTGTTAATAATCAGACTTAAAGGTGTTTCTCATTTCCACTGTTAGGCCCATCGTGCTAAAGGAGATTTTTCAAAATGCACATTGAAAACAAATATAAAGGCAAAATAATAATTGGCCCTTAACCTTTCTAGTGGGTTCACATGTGTTGGTCATGTTTTATACTTGAAACTGTTACACAAATGACCTTGTGTGAAAAAAAATAAGAGATTTAGATTAATAAAATCATTTGTATTTTTTACACAAAGTTTACTTTATTTTAAATAATGGATTGTTTCATTTTACTTTTCGGCTACAATTGTGAAGACTCTTCGTATAGGATGAATAAACGGAAGTGTTGGTATATTCGTCAATAAGACAGCAGCCTAACGACATTTAAAGGGCCAACGTAGCATTAAAAAATAGACAGATGTATAACGCGCAGGTAAAAAAAAAGCTTAAACAAGGACATTTATTTTCTCATCACACAACAAAGCTTAAATAAGGACGTTCAATCTCTCATCACGCAAAAAATCTTAAATAAGGACATTCAATCTCTCATCACGCAAACAATCTTAAATACGGACGTTCAATTGTAAAATCCACACAATTTGCAATTAACGTATTTAGAATGAGTAAGTCCTGTTTTAGAAATTAGCGCATTGGAAGCGTTTTAAATTTTTAGTAAAAAAAACTTTTCAAAAGAAATGACTCTTTGGAAACCGAATCTGTGTTGACTGAGCACATGTTTATTAAAGGTTTCATTTTAGGGGGGAAATTAGAAATTCCGAAATCTGTAAAATCCACACCATTTGCAATCAACGTTTTAGAATGAGTAAGTCCTGTTTTAGAAATTAGCGCATTGGAAGCGTTTTAAATTTTTAGTAAAAAAAAACTTTGCAAAAGAAATGACTCTTTGGAAACCGAATCTTTGTTGACTGAGCACATGTTTATTCAAGGTTTCATTTTAGGGCCAAAATTGGAAATTCCGAAATCTGTATTTTGCAAGGAAGGGATACCAATTTGAAAATCGACTTGATAAACATTCAGATCAGTTGTTAATAATCAGACTTAAAGGTGTTTCTCATTTCCACTGTTAGACCCATCGTGCTAAGGGAGATTTTCCAAACTGCACATTGAAAACAAATCCAAAGGAAAAAAATAATTGACCCCTAACCTTTTCAGTAAGTTCACATGTGTTTGTCATGTTTTATACTTGAAACTGTTTTACAAATGACCTTGTGTGAAAAAAAAACAAGAGATTAAGATTGATAAAATCATTTGTATTTTTTACACAAAGTTTACTTTATTCAAAATAATGGATTGTTTCATTTTTTTCGGCTACAATTGTGAAGACCTTCATATAGGAAGAATAAACAGACGTGTTGGTATTCGTCAATAAAACAGCAGCCTCACGACAAAAATATTAATAGAAGCCATTTAAAGGGACAACGTAGCATTAAAAAATACACAGATGTATAGCGCGCAGGTAAAAAATATCTTAAACAAGTACTGTTGTGTATGGTATAATGGACGTGACATTACTATGTAGACAGTACGGTAGATATATCGCGTAGTCCGGTTCCCGGTATGATCCATGGTAAACTACCCAACTCAGGATAAGATCTCAGATAGTTACCAGGTAACGAGAGTTGGCCTATTAGCGGGAATAAGAACGCCTGTACTAGAACTTAACCAGAGAGTATCAGAGTATATTTGGTAAGTTAGTACAATTAGGAGCATTTCATTGTATTAGTAGTATTAGTATTGAGTGTTAATACTCGGAAATCACATCACTGGCGCTTGGCGAGCAGGGTTTCCTGTGTTAAAAAGGACGATTTGAATCGAGAAACAGAAGTGAGTACGTCACGTGTAATTGCGAAGTTCATATTGCTATATTTGGTATATTATGAAGTGTTTGAACACGGAAATAATATAAGCATAAAAACTTGCGTTAATTACAGTGTTTACAAATTTACTTTCGATAATTGTTTTACGTTTGGCTAAAATTAGCCGTTTTGCGCGGAAATTAGACAAATAGCCGTTAAAAGAGCAAATTAGAGATATTAGCCATTTTCAGTCAAAATTAGCCGGTTTTTTTCTGTGGTTAGCCACATAGCACATACATATTAATTTTTTTTTCTGGTTTAGCAACCAGTTTTAATTGAATTGTATTTGTGTTATCATAACCTAATGGCAGACTTAGCTTTTCAGAAGGAGCGTACAAAGATTAATAGCTGTACTTATGAAGAACTATTATTATTACCTGGTGTTGGAAATGTCACAGCTGACAAGATTATGTCTATGAGAGAGACATTTGGCAATATTCAGCCTGAGATCTTTCTGAAATACCAAGACTGAGAATTACTGAAGCCTTGATGGATTTGATCGATTTTTCACCGGTTACACAGACAGCAACAAGAATACAAATCACAGACACAGTCCAGTTATGATTTACAAGACTATGTTGATTATGGTGAAGTTAAAATATCTGGATTTCATTCGGAATATGCAAGACGAGAAGCAAAAATCAATGACTTTTCAGATTCTGACACACCTTCTGATAAATGTTTGCTAAAACCTGAGCCTGAGGAAGTCAAACGTGAGTTATCACGTCCCAGTTCAGCGATGAGCAAACCATTAAATTACACTTTGCAGTATGGGGACCACCAGTATTCAACAAAATTGTCAAGACCTGATGAAAGAAAACCATTACTACAAACCAAGTATGATGACCAGGATAAAGTTCAGGATTTTTCGAGTGATCGACAGTTTAAGCCAGACAACATTCAAAGATGCAGTTATTGATTGTACGGATCATCAAAGTGTTTTTATAAAAATTTAGAACTGGTGCATCAGAAAAGGGAAGGGGGTACTGGAAAATAAATAATTCTATATTAGAAGATAATGACTACATACAATTAGTTAATAAAGAAATGAAAAGCTGCTTTATGAGTAATCGTTATTTAAAAAACCTTGGTTTAGCATGGGATATATTTAAAATAAAGGTAAGGGAGGCAACTATAGCTTATTGTAAATCTAAAGCAAAATTTACAAGAGAAAACTTACGAACTCTTGAAAAAAAATTAGAAATAAAATTGAAAATTAAAGATGAGCAAGAATCTGAAAATAATTATTTAGATAAAGATATTGAAGAACTTGAAAATAATATTGCCAAAATTTACGAACAAAAGGCTAAAGGGGCTCAAATAAGATCACGAGAGAAATGGTTTGAATTTGGGGGAAAAAATAACTCGTACTTTTTAGGTTTAGAAAAACAGAGACAGGTAAAAAAGTCAATCAATAAATTAAAAGGGGAAAATGATGAGATTTTAACCGATCAAAGTGATATACTATGTAGTATTAAAGAATACTATAAAAAGTTTTACTCGACGCAAAGCCCTGATAAAACATCAAGCGATAAATATATATTTGAGACAAAACTCGAGAAAGAAATGGATAAAAATGATAAATCACTCTGCGATGGGGATATTACAGTAGAAGAATGCTCAGATGCTATTTATAAAATGAAACTTAATAAATCCCCTGGATTAGACGGTTAAACAGTTGAATTTTATAGAAAATTTTGGGATAAATTAAAGTTCATAGTAGTAAACATTCTTAATATTGGATATAAAGATCAAACACTTACATACTCACAGCGTACAAGTGTATTAACGCTATTATTTAAAAAAGGTGATCCATTGTCACTAAATAATTACCGTCCTATTTCTCTTTTAAATATTGACATGAAACTTCTATCATACGCTCTAGCACAACGATTGAAAAAAATCTTACCAAAACTTATTAAAGAAGACCAGACTGGATATGTAAAGAATAGATTTATTGGTTTTAATCTTAGACGGATACAAGATATTATTGA